AATAATATAATAACTGTGGCATTTCATTATAAGCAGCTCATTGTAAGTAGCACGTCATAGTAAGTGATGTATTGTGGGTAATGAGTTGTAATAGAGTTAATAAACTGTAAATAAAATATGTTGTTGTAAATAAAGACTTTAAGTGTATAATTCATTAAAAAAATGAAAAAAATTATATCAATTAACTTTTAAGCAAACTGTAGGAATTACAAGGATGAATAAAATACTAGGTTAAGATTTCAAACTGAATTATATGCAGAAGTAAATTATAATGCGCAGTATTTCTGTCAAATTAAAGGAACTTTTAAACAAGCTTATATCAACATCAAGCTACATCCGCAAGACGTATCCCTTTCAACTGATCTATGATGTACATTGAGCTTGAAAGCAGCAATCAAAATAAAGTGTACATACACATTTCAGGCTATCATGACTTCTGATCAGTAAACTTGCCAGCATACCTTGAAGTATAAGAATGCATCATACAACCACGAGGTTGCCAAAAGCTTCCTCTCCAGCGACCAGACTGAAACATAGCAGGGCAGGTACTAGAGCCTATTACAAAAAACCATATATTTTACTGATGTTTCAATAAGCCTTGACACCTTATATCTGTATGCATATTCTACATATTGTTCCCTACAGCTGCAACATACTTCCTTGTTAATTAATTGCAATAATTTGATGCTAGATCAAGAAAACAACTTCTACATGATAAGTTGAAGTATTCTTATTACCTTTTTCTTGGATAATGTATGGATATTAAAGGGAGAAGTTACATGTTAATCACTTCTGAGAGTTAAATGTTCTGCTAATACAATGCATCTAACAAGGTGCAAAGGTGCATGTATAAAATTTATCTAGCTAGTTAATATACATGCAAGCAGTACTGTAAATAAAGAAATTAAATCCTCAACCCTTTAATTTTGTTGTTTTAATTCACCTTCTACAGCTCTAAAAAATTTTTAAAGTATTTTAGCATTAACCCTTTAACTCCCATGAGTGACCAAGACAGAATTTCTCCTTACAATATCAATACAATATCAACCAGATAAGTGATGAGAATAAAGAAAAATATCAATTTGGAGATAATTAGTTGATATAATACTAAATTCTCTGAACTAACATTATATGAGTTGTATAGTTGAAAGTAAGGAGAATTACAAATTTGATCTGAGAGTTAAAGGATTAATTTCCTTGTAGTATTTCCTTTAGTATTAGACCCTTTATGCGTTAATGTTTCTTAAAGTTGTTGTTCATGATTTTTTATAACCTCAAGTCTTAGGCACAAGATAGAAAATACTTTGCATTGATTTTCTAACCCTTGGATTAATTATCCTTTTGCCTCCTAGAAGTGACCAGCTTCTAATTTCTCCTAACAATATCAGCCTTCAATCAAATGTTAAGATAACGAGAATGAAGGAAATAATCACCAATGTAAGAAGCCCCTGATTGTGAAACAAATTCTCTTTGTCAGTACCAAGGGGGATGTATAGAGAATAGTATGGAGAATATTCATATTGATGCCAGGGTGTAAAGGAATGAATGTCGGCTCAAACTAGGCTTCTTTATTATGAATCATGACATTCTTCCTGAAGACATGCTTCTACACACCGTTAGACCTGCTAAGGAAATAGATACCTGGACAAACTTTGAAAGAAGGGGATGCTGGATTGATTAATTTCATTTTTTGTTGCTTTAAAGATCAATGGCTTCCCTTAAAATACGAGTACGAACCTAGCTGGATTCCTTAAAAAAATGTAGAAATATTTTCGTACATTTGTACTTTTAGTTTTGTATTTCTTCATTTAAAGTAGATATGAACGAAACGATGTAAAGATCTGACGAGTTAACAAAAGGAGAAACACAAACACAGCAGGTGTTTCGCAATTTTTCTTCACTCAGAATTCCAGCTGTAAAAACACTATGATTAGTACAAAAATGTTTTGTTTACACTTCTCGGCAGTGCAGTTGACACGTGTCAAGTAATCCCAACAATAAACAGGGCCAATAAAGAGGAAATCTTGCTAAAACCAGGTACGAAAACACCTGAACAAATTCGTTTTCGATATGTCATTGTGTCACGAAATATGTGACAACAATTTCCTCTAGTAAAAAAGTTATCGCTTACCTTCTCGCTGGACACGCGCGAAATGAACGCAGATCAAGCATACCACAATGAGAAAAGCCAAGGTTTTACAGCATATCTCGATCCTAGAGGTTCCTGTCTGCTGTTTTTTAGATTCTTTTCCGCGTTCAGAGACTTCTTTGGGATTTCTTTCCACATCAGAAAGGTGTAGAGTAGCGCCAGAAAGTTCTACGCTCACCGCCATCTTGAATAAGGAAACTTCTGCCCAACAGCCCTTGTCGTCCACGTCGGAACGAGAGGTATTGGGCCTAGGGAAAATTTTGAAGAGCTGCAGCTGACCGAAGCGATCCTTAATTGGTAAAACAAAATAACAACGACGTGTATTTGCTGTCTCAGTGCGTTCAGCCAGACAAGACGTTTGTTATCTCAAGCTCCGGGATAAGACCCCCTCTAAGCTGAGGATTTAATTTTCAAGCATGTCGTCTCAAACTGGCATTCTGCCGCGGGTCGAGATCAGCACTACTACCACGAAATGGCCGATGGCGAGGGAGAGGGGAGATTTTCCTTTCCCCCTTTCCTACTGTCGCCACGCTGATGATGTGGAAATAGATTCAAGTTTAGCGAAACTTGTGGTACAACCAATTTACAAGCAGTTGAAACCATAAAATAAAAAAACGTCTTTCTTTCTATGCAAACTTACACAGATTTGAAGATAGTTGTCGCGACAACCTTGTAAGCGTATCGCGTGATACTTTACTCTCTAACTTATTAAGCTTGGGGTTTAATGATAATTGGGTTACATAAGATTTAGGTGTATAATTGAGTGTAGCACGGTAATGGCAGACTTGTAGCAAGAATGTTCGGATTGCGCACGGCAGAAGTGATACAGAAAACTAATAATGGTCTGAAACAATTAGATGAGGAATTGTCTCCGGAAATTGTGCGGGCGCGTTTGGGTTAGAACATTCTGTGACGTTGCGTGATGGGCCATTCGTGTCGCAAATAGTGCGTGCGTGCGTGCGGGTGTAAATTACAGAAGTGTTGATCGGAGTATAATGTTAAACAGCTGTCAAAGTCAATTTAACATTAAATAGCTTGGAATTTTAGTAAATTACGAAAAAGTAAAGTCAATCTTGGTTTTACATGAGTTTAGGAGTGTATTTCCATTGTAATAGCAGATAAATAGAGTCACTATCTTGTGACAGAGGATCGAGATCGATTGAATGTGGAAAGTACGGATATTGTATGGATTGTAAATAAACGCAAGAAATCGGAAAGATACAGTCCTATTGATTGTCGAACCAGCGATCCGCAGAGATTTTCCTTAGCGCAGTTTAGAATTCTGCAACCCTATTATATTCTTTGGAAATCTAATTTCCATAACTTGACTTAGCCGCACAACTGAAAATTTTTTCATTATGAACGATTTATCATAATGATTTGAACACTATCCGTAGCGATGATCTGCGATTGGTCTAAATGCGTCAAGCGACCAGGTTATATTACGAAGTAACTCAGTCTCAACGAAACATCCTCTGTTTTGCTTGAAAATGCGATCAAAATTTTGACCTTCGACATCAACTATTCCCCGAGGATTAGTTTGCTTGTTCACTTCTCGGAGCAGATGATCTTCACGGAAACTTATCCGAGCGTAATTTCGTGCCAAATGAAGACTATTGTTTATTCAGTACTGACGCTTTCTCCAACAAATGCTGCAATCCGATTGGTTACAATCACTATTTCAAAAAGTGGTACGTTTCTCGAGAAACTGTGGTGCTGCGTCGGTGGGAGGGTATAACAGGGTAATTTAATGTTATCAACGAGTTGATAACGTGAATTGGCCTCCGTAAAGCGTTAAAAAGCTGACTTTTCGGGCGCTAGCCCTTAGGCATTCGCTCTGACGATAGGCTAACGCTCGAAACGTCAGCTTTTAAACTCACTAACGTGCCAATTCACGTTATCAACTCGTTGATAAATTATCAAATTTATTTCATGTTGCCGTGCATGTTTTCAGTAATAGATCACAGATGACGTCAAAATGTGGTAAGAATAACCAAGTGGCACACGAGGCCGAGGCGCAGCCGAGTATGTTACAGGCGTTCTTATCATATTTTGACGCCTCCGTGATCAGTGATTACTAAACAGACGTACGACAGCATGGAAATCATTAGTTTTACATGATGAAAAAGCAAGATGTTGTTTATGATGAAGTCATCTATGCGTCTGCCCTCCAATGCATCATGGGTAAGAACCAATCAAAATGAGAGCGTAATTCAGCTTATCATATCATTAATAAATCTATCATGTTATTCACTCCACATCTGTATCCCTAGGATATCAAACAATTTCTACAAGTGATATTTCTACAAATCCACATTCCCTGTACATACTCGGGGGTCATTTATTTTAAGAGCAATTTTCTCTAAATAAATTATATTTACATACAAAATGTACCATCACATTAGAGCAGTTTTTTAAATCAGAACTTGTTTTCCCGTCATTCTCGGAAAATTACACGAGTAAGATCATTTGAACGCGGTTAAGTAACTTATGTTTCACCGCGTTCAACACTGCCAAGGGCTAATTTGTTTTGCTCCATTCAAGCCCCAATTCATTTCCTTTAAAAGCGCATTTTTTGAGTGTTGTGAACTCAAAACGAAAGTTATCCCAGCAGTCCATAAAAAATGGTCGATGAGAATTCAAATTAATTTGACTAGAGGTATAAATATTTAACAGCGTGTTTTTACATGACTTTTTTTTTCTCTGCGGGAGCTTATTTTGACTATACATTGAATCGGAAAAAAATTAAAATCTTGCAACATTTTCATGCCTATGTTCTCTGATCACAGTGCGTCATAAAAACAAATGTATTGCAGGGTTAAATTGGACACTCAATTGAAAATTTCGCTATTGGTACGCCATTTAAAAAAGGAAATCATATGTTGTGTAGGGGGGGGGAAGGGGACTTTAAACTTGATATGACTTTGTAAGTTCAATTTACGTTCATTCGACAAACTCGCACGACACTGAAACTCTCCATTTTTTGTTGGAATAGTATTCCATTTATCCATCTGTTCCCTCTCATTGGAAATACACTACAACTCGTGTTTTAAAGCCGATGGACCTGTGCTTTTCATGAAGATTAAGCCCGCGTAAAGGGTACAAAGCATAAAACTTTATTCCCTATATCATTCATTTTCCATTTGTTTAGCAACGAAAATCAGCCAAGCTCATTATTATAATTCGTGTATTTCCGGAGGAAAATAAAAATCTTCCAGATGATCCCACTGTAATTCAGAATCGTATCCCTGACCTGCGGCGAATCGCATTCGCTCATACGCAGATGTTTGAAACTGTTCACAACCAGGAGAGGTTCCATTTAAGGTGCACTCCACGTAATTGTTAATTTGTTTAGCCACGTAATCAAGGGGCGCAGGCCCCTGCGATAACAAGTAAAAGTGGAAGTCCCGTATGTCAAACTTTGACCCCAGTTTCTTCTGGGCGTTTTCTCGCATGTCCATAAAAGCCTGCTGGCCTATCATGTACGCAGTCGCTTGCCCAGGACCGCTCTGGTATCGTGTCACTTCCTTCAGAGCCACATCTGTGTCGTCCCAAGCGTAGTCGCTAAACAGCTGAATGGCTTGATCACGTGTCATGCCCATGAAATGTAGACCTGTGTCGACGATCAGACGCAAAGCCCGCCATACTTGCCATTTCAGCATTCCATATCGTCTCAGTGGATTGTCGTTGTAAACATCTGTGTGATAGTTAAGATCCAGCAATTTGGTAGAGTCACGATAGAATTTACCCGACCCTCTCCCCTAAGGATCTGTAATATCCTTATGATCTGCCCACAGTGGCAGGTAATTGGCAGTCAATTTTCTATAGCCCCGCCTTATACTCTGTTGACGACGACTAATGTCCCCCCCTGTTCCCTCTGAAAACCATGTGATTCCCAAAACCTCCGATCATCCTCCCCTCCCTCCCTTCCCTGGGGATAAATAGTAAATGGTCCCCAATAACATGTACTTTTTCAGTTCCTTTCACGGCAACGATACTAGGGACCTGGACGAGGCAAAACAAAAGATCTAATGAGTAGAACAATAACGTAGCAGGTGCGTTTTCAAATTGTGTACATTTCTTAGCTGTCCTCTTTAAAATAACGACATGAAATCATCAAAATTTGCCTAGTGTAGGAAAGGAAACGCTGACAGCAAACTATTTAAGTTTCCATTTGGAGCTCAACGCCGCTCTCATACGTTATGCTGAGGTTAACTTGCAGCGCCGCACGAGATGATAAACACATCCAGTCATTCGCGAAATTCCAACAAAAAATATATATTCATTTTTAAATCAACGTCTTCCTTAGCGTTGCCGTCCTAACTGCTAAAGGTCCCTAATAGTTATAAGTGCGTGAAGCACTAATTGAAACCAACAGTGATGTCTACATGATTTGACAGTCAGTTATGCCTCAAATTTCCAAGACTAGTATTGTAAGAAACAATATGAACGCGAAGGGACTTTCATTTATGGGCACGGGATGTGTTTCACGAGCCGTAGGAGAGTGCTATTCAAAAATATTTCAAAACATCCTATTCGAAATTAAATCATGAAATTCACAAACATTTTAATCGATTGTTATCCGTAAAGTTTTCAATGCCACTCAATAATGCCACTCTGTTTGCCTGCAGAGCATGATACTCGACAAACTCTTGAACAACGTTTTCTTTGAATTGAACTTTGAACGGATCTAAAACCAACTTGAACTATGATCAAGATAACTCAGAGTCGCTCTGAGGTACTCAGTCAGAGTATTAGGTTTAAAATGTATCAAATCTTACCCGTTTCCTTAGCAACAAGAGGATTCTCGGCATAAAGTGCCCACCCCTCAGAGTAAGCAATATATCTGCTCTTGATCAAGACACTTACTACTGGGCCGCACCAGTCCCTGCGCAGATAAAGCAAAGGTGACGTAACTTAGAAACATACATTGGAAAAGAAGATGGCGCTCAGATTAACGCTTAACTTTATCTACGGGCTAGAAATGAAAAGAGAAAGGGGGCTCACGACGCTCTTCTAGGAATATCAGTACATCTAAGGTTCCGTCGGCAATTTTACCCTTAACATGTGGTAAATTGATGGACTTGGTTCACGAATGAAACTTACAGAAAATTTTCCACGTAACCTTGAGACTGTAGGTGGTGACCAGGCCTGGCTTCGTGAGCACTCGTCGTCCACTCGGAATACTTTGGGCCCATTCGGTCCAGAAAGAAAGGTATTCGGAAAAACGCCGGTTTCTTGCAGGTCCGATAACTTGTAGTGTAAGTCTGTGCCGAAGAAGTCGGCATAAAATTCACTGCGATGGCAACAGGGCAAACGGGCGTGGTCTTCCGGGGGCCTAGGGGCCAGTGAAACATCTGCAAGAGCTTGGGCTCAATTTGACTGAGAGTGCTGCGAGAAAACTTGAACCATCGTTGCATAGCGGCATAGCGCACTGGACAGAATTCCCGCGCAGCTGAAATTTGAAAGAATAAGCGCATCAAAAATTTTTAAAAGTTGTAGTGTCTTGCAGATGGCCCAGGTTCCAGAGGAGCCGTCTGAAGTTGAATATTGGATCAGACAGCCCGACAGTAAGCAATTGAAATTATGCGGTTTAAGCCTACGACGCTGTCATTTGTAAAGATTCAAAGGAAATACTAAGCAGCGCAGGTGGTGTTTTTTTGGTCACGCCTGTCATTATCAGTTCAGTCTACAGCCAATTGGTAGCGAGTTTAAGATTTTGAGTAGTCCGAATTGGCAGCACAACCCGTAATCTGAAACGGTTATTGAAGGCCCTTGAGGTGAACCAATGATTGAAGATACAACAAATAAGTCAGTTTTCATTGGAGCGTCGATAGTAATTCCGGACTGCTTTGGTTTTGTCTTATACTGATGAGTGATTGGTAAAAAAAAAAAAGAAAAAAAAACTCGCGCCATCCTCGTTAAGATATTTTCAGATTCCTTAACGGTAACAAAGAATCTTCTAAAATTTGCCTCGCTCCCAAAATGAGGTTCGTAGCTTAGTTAGTGGTAGCCCTCAACTTGTATCTAGGAGGCCTGGGTTCGAATACCCTCATTTCTTAAATTGCAGCTCAACTGTGATGACCATTTCTTTACTTCTGTTGCCAGGTGAGTTGGTAAATCCCATGTTGAGATTGGAATCTTTACTCCACGTGAAAAAGGACCGAATGCCTCGTTAGAAATTGTTCTGATTTAAGTCACACTACCTTTTTCACTGTTGCACTTCCTATGAGCTCTCTCGTCTGATTCGTTTTTGGGGAAAGGTTGCTCATTGAAGAACATTGATGGTGAATGGACTAACTTTCGAAATGACTCCACAGCTTTACTTTCGTTTGTGAATCCCGTGACAGACTTGGCTATGTCTAAAACTTGAGGATAAATAGACTCTAACAAGGACCAACCAAGTTTGTAAACAGATTCTGTGGAAGTGAAAAAATGACTGAAGATCAGGTTAAGTGATAATGTATTCAAGGGTGTACCCAAGAGGTCCTAAGGGTCTCCCCCATAAATTCCCCCCATTGTGGTGTAATTTTTTTCGTCAAATACTACACCACAGGTTTTCAAAAACGCGCAAATCCTAGGAATCTACATAGCATTAATTTTTCTAGGGCTAAGTACTTCACTTTCTCAGTCTCTTTCGCATAGTTTAATCGCGCTTTCATGCCGTGAAGCAAGTCGGAACAATGGTAACATCAACATTACAGCGTCTGCTAAATGACTTACGCGCTGTCAGTTCATAGTTGTATGAACGGACAGCACTGAAGTGACTTTCCCGCGCATGTAACAGTCACGTGACAGCTGCACATGCTACATCAACTGCTATAATACACCTCATAACTTTTGCTGCAGCGGAATTCATTTGAGTTAAGAGGAAAAAAGTCAAGTGGTCAGAGGTATGAAAAATTATATAAGGAACTGCGTTCACTTACCAGCTGTGTGATTTGTTGTTGTAAAAAATCGCATAGTTCTCTCGTACCCAGCCTTCCCATCGATTATTTCACCGCTGGGCAGTTTTCTACTCGCGGGCTTAGAAACATCAGCAATCCCGTTATTGTACACATAATGCAACGGGCGATTAAACAGTCCGCTGGAAACGTTACTAGGCACACAATGCTTCATGTGATCCCCCTTAAGATATCGCATTAAATTCACCAAAGGAACGCCCACGTAACTAATCAAACTGTCCGCCATCGAGTACTCTAAAGACACATTTTCTCTCCGTGACCACAGCCCTTCCACCTTCTGAAATCTTTGGTAAAACCTATACGTCAGAAATGGATCTGAGAATGATTCCGTCATGATGTCTTCTTCCCGTAGACTGTCCCCAATTTTCGGATACATCTGGGTTAAACAATCCAGTCCCACTCGACACTCTTCGACAGAGCCTACCATTCCAGTTTTGACTCCACGTTCGATGTTCTCTCTGTACTGCTCAATTCCTCTTCCAAAGCCTTTTAGAACTTCAATGATGGTCTGCATATCTTCTATTGTTGATGGGGACAACTTTTTCAAGAACATACGAAAGTGATATGGTAGTCTGGCAATGACATCCACGTAACAAAATCTGTTTGGGCCGAGCATCCACTGACCTGGAAAAGTAGACAAACGTTTTCAAACACTAGAAATCCCCAAAATATTTTCCTTTTCTGACTTAGACTAAAGACAGTCCTTCCTTCCTAATGTACACTCTGCGCGGAGTTCTCAGAGCCAGACGCTCGGAAAAAGGGGTCACCCCTAGACTTTCCCCAAGCGCGCTGTCACCAATTTTTTAATTATTTTTGTTTACTTGAGGGAAAGACTTTGTTGAAAAGTAGGAACTGCTCGTAGTCTATTTCTGACCTGGATCAGTGAACTACAGGCAGAAGGTCAGGCAATTTCGAGCGTTCCAGAAGACGTTTTCGTTTCCTTCAAATCTTTTTCATTCTTAGTCACCCTTGCTGATACCTTAGTGGGTTGAAATGAACGTAACTTCCTTCAAGCCGGAAGCAGTTTTCAAAGTTGTGCAAGAACTGTTACCTGTCACATGTCACGCAACACGCAAGTCGGGTTTCCATAGTGCATTCAGTATCAATTTTATTAACCATGTGCTCGAATAATCGGCCATGTAATAAGTAATAATCATCAACATGGCCGATCAGTCGAACAAGTGGTTAATACAATTAATACTGAAATGCACTATGGGAAACCTAACTTGCGTGTTGCGTAAAATGTGACAGGTAACAGAATCATACAGAACAACTTGACGCGAAGAACTTAATTTGAACTTAAAGCAAACTACAGAATACCGTTAACACTCAAGTAAGCCAACCCATTCCCCTAAAGAAAACTCCAAAGTAAAAATGAATAAAGGGGCAAGTTTCTAAAGAAACTGTGGTGCTGCGTTGGTTTTCAAAGCTAAACTCTTTACGGTGGCCAATTTACGTTAACAACTCAGTTGATGATACTAAATAACCCTCAAAAGTAAAAACACAGGGTAAAACAACAATGCTATAGAAGGCAATTGGTTTTGTTTTAATTTGCGCAGTGATTGGTCCAAAAAATTTGCACCACCTTCTCAACCAATCAGACGTAGAACTGAAATCAACAGCGTCTTCATCACGACGTTTTCCCGCGCTTCGTTCGGTTTAGTCTTGAATGTGATTTGTAAGGCAGTCGCGCGAGTAGTCTTGATCAATCACAGAACGAAATAGAGCATAACTAAAGTAATCGTGGATCACTTTCCACACTCAATTGAAAATTGCTTTATAAAGACACAGTAACTAAGTCTGTACCTGAATAATAATCAAAATTATAAACATTGCCAAAATTATGCGCTAGGAAATGTTTCATCTCAGCCAGTGCTTTTGCTTCTCTCGTCTTCAGCAGCCCAATGTTAATATGTAGTTTACTGAGCTCTTGTAATAATGACCTTGATGTGTCCGTGATGTCCTTTATACTGGAAGGAATCGGATTAAATGCTTTGAAGTTCTTTCTGACTTCATCCGTCGATACTCGTGGCTTGTAAGGTACTTCATAAGGATGCAGCTTGTAAAACGTTTCTTTCAACTTGTTTACAAATTTTAGGAGGCCTGCAAAAACAACAGAAAGAAGTTTAGAATCTTTTCACACACAACGAATTTATAACATTTAACAGTGTCTCTACTGGAGATAAATTTTCCCAGTTTTCGTCTACACCAACAATTTTCTTTTGCTTTTTTTTTGCGTGACAATAATAAATCAGACCCGCTTTGCTATCGTGCGATTAAATTAATCAGCCACAGAGAACATGAATTGAATGCTTTACCGGTTAACCCTTCACATCCTGATATCAGTATGTATATTCTCCATACTGTTCTTTATACATTTCTTTAGGTGCTAACAAGGAGATTTTTTTTGACAATCTTCTTTGCTTAGTAATCATTTCCTTAATCGGTCGTCACCTTAATGCTTGATTCAGGGGTGATATTGTAAGGAAAAATAGGATGCTAGTCACTCTCAGGAATCAAAGAGTTAGAGAGTTGTGTATCTTATTCTGAGACGAAAACTGATCTTGTTTCTCTCTCAGTACGAACAAGGAGAATTGCAATAACGGGGAACTCCCTCGAGTGTAAATATTGCAATTTTAAGATAAATTCACGACCGTGTGGTTTTTTTTTTCAAGTGTCTCGAAGCATCTAGAATTACTTCGCAGACCTAATTATCATTTTAATTGTGGAAAGAGCGATGTGTGGCGGTGATAATATCTTCAGGCGTTGATTTGCCTTTAATAACCGATGTTGTTGTCATTTGTGAAAAAAGGGAATTGCGCAAGCAAAAAACAGGAACACGTTGACTGACAAATCTATTGCATTTCACTTCTCGCATGAAACACATGGAATCAAAAAAGGTTTATTGTGTTAGTGTTAAAAATAAGATACAAGGATTACATTTGGTGCATGTCTTTTACGCTACAAATCGCTCATAGACTATTTTCAAAAACCCACGCTTTCTCTTTATTAAAATCAACACCTACTAAATTTTTTAAATACCTTCTTAATAACCCAGGAGCGAAAATCCTAATAAATACAAAGTATTTTGAGGAACTTAAAAGATGTAATGTGGTGGGTTTTAGACAATTAAGATCAAAGCCATTGAGGAGTGCATGCATTCGTGGGCGATTGTCTGCGGGTGAAAATGTAGACTTGCTTAATTCTGTGTTGTTACTTTCGTGTACCATTCTTGACTGCTTTCATGAAGTACCGGGCGAAAGGTGATTCCGAAAAACGGCAGCAGCCAATCAGAAAAAAGTAAAATAGAAAATACCTTTTAAAGCTATTAGGAACTCTCTGTAAAAACAAGCAAACCGCCTCGGGTGCGGAAAAACGCGAGCGTGATTGGTTTAAGATCTGCATCTCCTCCACTCATGCTCAAAAAATTTAATTCCAGATCTCCTCAATTCTGAAATCAGCCTGAAAGAAAGATTGCTTTGTCTTGCTCAGCGTTTGTTGATTATGAAATCAATATTCACGCCCGTAGAGTCACATTTTCGAAAGAGGCACTTGAATATTAGCCTAGTTATACTACTCAACATCGGCCAATATAGGTCAATAACTAATTATATCGCTTGATTTTGTATGGCAACACGTGAATTCGTAAAGCTAAAAATTTTGTCCGTAATTCGACTCTGCTAATTCAGAGAGAAGAAATTTTAGTTACGGGAGACCTACTTCTCGTTTTCAAAAAGACAAATTAACTTTACATGTAGTTCTTGTACAAGCAGAATTGAATTTTTGCCATGTTCTCAGCCGATGTAGTTGCAGTTGTGTACAGCATAGTCTTAACAAGATATGAAATTATACCACAAAAGCTGAAAAAAAAATAACGGAAACTTTCCTTGCATGCACGCGCAGAAAAAATCGTGCTCTGTTGCGTTTTGGGGCTTCATAGCTTGACCCGTCCACGCTTGTGGTAAATGGAGAAAGTGTCAATTAAGTCTCTAATTTTCCTTCCCCAGTGTGGCCCGTTATGCTGATATTTTACACTTTCTATTTTTATCCTCTGTGTTTGTGTTATGGCCCTAAGTGTTGCTAAAATTATGTTTAGCTTTCAATATCCATGTACTCTCAACTTTTACTGAAAGGTCAAAATTGTCTGGGTACCCGCTCGACTTAATACGCCTCGACTTCTCACTGGAAAGTGTTGAAGAAATTGAGAGTAATGTTTCCGAACCTCAGCTTTCTGTCATGTAAAAATTTTGCTCCATATTTCTCTTCAGTTAAATTTAAAAAAAAAATGACTAATTATTATGGTCGAGCAGAGTGCAGCGACAAGGTCTGTTCTGGTTCATAATGGTGTTAGTTAAAAGTAAATGTGGAATAAAAATTAAACACGAAAAGGATCATGGACAATATAGACTTAAAATTTTATAGCCGTATCATTTTTGCTTTTTTCTTAAATTTTTTTTCTTCGTTTTTTTTGGTGCCAAACCAAGGCGAATATTGAAACGGAAGGAGACCCATTAAGAGGCAAATTAAAAACTTAGCTTCTAAACGATGATAGCGTTAGCATTGCGCAACTTCAATTTAAAGTTTCAGCTATGAAGTTTAGGTCACGAAAACGCTTCATTACGTGTCATTCGATTGAATTCCAAGAATCGCTTATTGGCACCATACAATCTACTCGTATTAATCGATTCCTGAAGTACTGACGCCTGTGCGTCGCTTTGAAAGAATGGCTATTCTTTTTTTTTTTTTGTCTTGGGTTTTTTTGTTTCAAAATGTATGTGTTAGCAACGACTAATTTAGTCGCCATTAAATATATTTTACCAATGAGTTAATGCTACTTTGCTCGACGATGTGTCCATTTTGTAGGAGTGACTAACGACTTTGGGTACGCTAAAAACAAAAAATAATAATTGGATTTCGAGGGAGAAAAATTCTGCTAGATGAATAACAGAACGGCGGCAATCAGTTGATAACTTACAGTCTATCGCACAATACCCAATCGATTACGACTATTTAGTAAATTATTACTCTCTCTCTCTCCAGTCAGCAATGTCATTTAGAGTTGTTTTGCCTTCGATTGTTCCTGATTGATAGCCGAACTGGTTAAAAACAGCTATAAAATTCTTCAGACGTAAAGCAGATACGGTCATTAATTTTCCTAACAAAAGAGAATTTGACAGACTAGCTCATTAGGACGGAAGAGCAAATCTGAACCTTTTCACTGGCATAACTTGGAAGTTTTATTGTCCTTCTTCGTTGTAGAATACAAGAAAAATCTTTCCTCGTGATATTCCAATTATTCTCTATCTGAATATTAAATCATTTACGTTTTTTTTCTGGTTTTTATCATTTTTAATCAAAGCAGTGACGACGAAAGAAAGTAATATCTAAGAGCTAAATAGGTGAAGAATTCGCCAGCAATGGCGAATCGAGTTCAGTCAAATTTAATTATAGAATTGTTGAACTTTGCGAACAAACTAATCATCACTTTGTTGACTTTTTGCCCTTCAGTATCATGACACTCTGACAACTAATTTGTAGCTTGAGGAAACAAGTTTGATGATATATGATTCAAGATGTTTGTGCGGAGGCCCGAAAGGGGAACATTTTCCACTTCCTTTTAGAAAAGTAAAATTATATTATTTTCAACTCGCAACGATAAGCGAACCAAAAAAAAAAACGCTTCTTGAATACGATTCAAAACACGACTTTCAATTAATCCTTTCACAAAAGCACAAACAAAAAGTTAAAGGAATATATACATGATGAAAGTCAGAAATTAATATGGTTGTGTTATTTTTAGATTGTAATATACAGAGGTCTGTTATAAACGTCGTAAGATTTCGAGATCTTATGCGAACGAGCTTTTTATCCTTGTACAGTGACATTGCAAGTCTTGACAAACTCATTTTGGTTTGACCTCTGACATACTAATTGACCAAAAACTACTTTAGCTCTCTGTTTTCGAGTTATATCAGAAAACGATCCGTTAATTTGAATTGTAAAACAACTAATCAATGGTTCTCACTTTCAATGAAGGTAAATTTTGGTGGGTGGGTAGTAAATTGCTTCGCTCCTACGTTAGAATAACTTTTAATGCAATAACACAAAACTAATGTAACTTTAAGTGTACCTGATTTCTTAAACTCTTCGGAATAGCTGCAACTCTGCGTGAAATTCGTCGTTTTTGTTATGACGCTCGTCTCACCTCCATTTGAGGCACAATTGTTGTCGGGCTTCGTAGAAAAATGCTCATCGAGCCTGTTCATTCGAAGCAAAGCAATGCCGATGACCAGGCAAACAAATCCGGTAACTGCCACGGTGCAGGCAAACACCAAAATCTTTCGCGATATCTGCCGTTCCTTTCGTAGTGCTTGGACTTCTGAATTCTCCAAATCCCCTGAAAACTGGTTGCTCCGAAGAAACTGTAGTTCATGGTTCACTGATCCCATCTCGAGTTAAGCCTCTTGTAAAACTTCAATCCAGGGTCTGCAATTTGTGTGACAAAGCTTTCTTGTTTGGTACTTCGTGGCCGGGCTCAATCACTTCTCGCCCTTGATAATTACGGCAATAATTTTAAAAGTTAAAAACTGCTAGCGTCCTATGAGTCGCCTCTTAAGGACTAAAACCTCTGCATCCCTCCAAAGTGTTATCGAAGTCGCTTTGAGTTTTCTCCCTACAATGTAAATGAAAGTAAAGTTGAGGTTGAAAGGTATTCGTCAAGCAGGCAAATCCGAAGCAACAAGACAATTAACTTAATTACTTAATGGCCAGCTCAGAAAACACACACGCTGTGAGTCGAAGGTAAGGTCACCTTTCCTCAAAACAGCGGGCAAAGATCTTGCTGTGATGAAGTGGCAGTGATGAATTGACATCCAGATCTTGCAAGAACTAGCGCTGCAACAACTGCAACGAACCGTGCCGCGAGAAGGCATTCGGTCAATAACAAGTCTGGATAGTTGATCAACTATCTTGCGTAATAAAGTTGCGTTTTGGTCCGGTGAGTCTAATATAATTTTAAGCTACGAAGGGCAAAAATTTCTACTGATAAGTGAGGCAGACATATGGAATCACCCTCTACATATTGGCTGAAATGTCCATGAAAATTTCTACCCTCAAAATTCAAAACCTGATTAAAAGGATTAATGATCCCTCGACGATAAAAAAAAAACTTCCCTGTCACTGGAATATCGATGTGTATGAAATTCTTAAGTGGTAAAGAGTCTAAAAGGCAATTCTTCCCCCAAAAAATTACAAATATTCAATGAAAATTACTTACGCCGAGGAGCAAGTGAATTATTAGACTTCAAGTCTCCCTAGTGACGTTCATTTATGCGAATTTCAAGTCCTTAAAGGTTCATTCCATTTTAATTGCTTAAAGACAAAAGCCTGACACATGTAAATTTTTCTCCTTCAGGCTGGTCTTGATACAATTGCTTTTATTGAAAAAACATGCAAAAGCAAAGATAACATCTTCATGCGGGAAACAATTACTCCAAAGAGGTCGAGAACTCACGACAAAAGCCGTCGATTCGTCAACAAAGTCGACGTGTTTTCGCCTTTATCAAGGTTAGCGGCCTAAAACTCGAAGAAAATTTCAACTTCCTCCCTAACTTTGAAATTCCATAATGTTAGGAGGACGGAATGAAAAAAACAAACAATTAATAAACGACATGAAAGATATTTGACATTGGTGCGGTGTCCAAAAGGTTAGCACCTCACGTATACACCTCCGGGCTCTTCACGACGCATGCTCAGTTGATCAGCCCCAAGTCACACAGAGAAGAGTTGAGCGTTTTGACGGTAACTGAAGAGATTTTCGCCGCGCAAAACAGGAACTGTACAACGAAAATCATCGACACCACGCATAAAACGAATAAACCGTTCAATTGGTTTGCTGCTGATCTGAATGACGATATGGAAAAATGTAGATTTTGCCAAAAATTAAGTGTGTTAAAGAGACCGCAAAAGAAGGATATTGTATTTTCTTTTCAACTCGCGCTGTTATTCGAAGACTCCAGCAATTGTCTTGGCTTAGCGCCGAGTCTGCCCAAGAGACATCTTTAAAACCCCCTAAAAACTAAATATTGATAAAATTCATGTCAGATCAGGCTTAATTACCTCCTGTTTGCGAAGTTTATGTCAAAAGCTAATTTTTAAAAATTAATCGTAAGGCGGGTGCATACAAGTTTAGAAAACCAAGAAAATTTCATCGCATGTACTATGCCACTGTTATACTTTGCTCAATTTTTTTTTGTCTTTTTTCATTTTGGATCCCGGAACATTTCAAGACAAAAAGATCAAAACAACCGATTATTCAGTGAAACTTATATTCGATTGTACCTAAATATAGCATGTCTTTTTTTCCTTGTCATTCATTTCCTCTGCAAAAAAAACCGTGAAACAAAACATGTTTTTGATTTCGGCTCATGTTTTCCTTTTTTCATGGTTACGAAAGGAAATTAAAAGAAGAAATTACTTCCTCCTGTCGTCCATACTGGTCCTCTTTGATTCCTCACCCTGCATAATACTTTTGACTTTTCCCCTTTGATCTCATGTCTGGATTTTGCTCACTTTCGGAGATGCGAAATCTGTAAGACTAACAATCTCGAGCCCAGTTTCTGTGCGGATTTGAAATTTGAGATGATGGTGGACACAACGAAATAAAGGAAAACAAAAACAAACAAAGTAAAACGACACAACATAGAGACAAACAAAATAAACAGTTCTTCTATCATACAAGCGCTTAAAAACTAAAAACCAGTCCCATTGGTATTGGATGAAAAAGAATTTACCTTGAATGGAAGGAAACATCTTAACCCTTTAACTCCCAAGATCTGATTGTTAATTCTCCCCTGTATCTGCTACACATTTCCTTGTAAATTAGTTATGAGAACTTGGTGCTAGATCAAGATAGCAGCTTCTACCTGATAAGTTTGAATATTCTCATCACCTGTTTGCTGAAGAATGTATGGATATTGTAAGGAGAAGTTTTATGTTAATCACTTCTGGGAGTTAAAGGGTTAATAACAATTGGCTGGGTAGATTAACAACTAATAAGAAAGGATAAACCAAAAAATTGAACAAGAATGACTAAGGATGATGAAGAGCAATGAGATTAGATGGCATGAGTTGTCCACCCTAAGGTGTCACATTTAGGTAGAGGGGGAAAGGGCTGGAAATATATGTTGGAAAGATAAAAATAACCATAAGTACCCCCCCCCCAGGCCATGTAAATAGCTAGTGACCCTCCCTTCTTTATTCAATATTTACGCAATGACCCACCCCCCCTTTCACCTCGTATATCTCCTTATATGCCTAGTAATTATCAAAATCCATGACACATACAACTGTAAGATGGTTACTTTGCACAACACCCACCTTGGGCAATGGACCACTCTTAAAATGTACTTCAAACTACAGCACCCCTCTAAACTTCTCAATAAAAAGTTTAGGTCCCACCCCCCCCTTTTGCAAATCTGAAAAAGCTTTGACCCCCCTCCTCTGCCTCTTCATAAATCACCAGTCCCTGAAATCTGGCATCACTTTCTCATCCCAGGTCTCTGTAATGCAACTCAACTACTGTCTACCTTGTGATTTGACCAGCTCCTCCCAATTCATCTCTACCTGCCATGCACAGTGGATACTACAAGCATTGTTATATAGAAAATTGTACAACCCTACCCAAAAAAAAAAGGTGAAAGGTCTAATTTCAATAACTTTAGAGGAGTGTTTTTTTGTTGTAAACATTAGTTCCTGCCATAATCAGATTGACAAATAGATTCCATATTTAAGTTCATATTTTCTGTAATGTAATGCATCACAGATGACATAAGAACAAAAATGTGGCACACAGGCACAGCCAAGTGTGTCACTGACATTCTCACCATATTTTTGACATCTTCTGTGCACTACCTGCATTCCCACCAGTAAGGACTCAAAGCAACATGGAATCTATTTGTTTCATACGATAAAAAAAAGAAAGATGTTGTTGATAATGACATCATGAATGTGTCTGTTCTCCTGTAACTCACAAATAAGAACCAATCAAAAACTGTGCATAATTCAGCTGACCATTTAACCCTTTAACTCCCAGCAGTGATAAACAAGTAACTTCTCCTTACAATATCCATTCACTATCCAGCAAACAAGTAATGAGAATACTCAAATGTATCAGGTAGAAGTTGTTATCTTGATCTAACACCAAATTCTCGTAACTTATTAACAAAGAAATGTGTAACAGCTAGAAGAGAGAATTAACAATCAGATCTTGGGAGTTAAAGGGTTAAACATTACTACATAACTTTGTGTCATTCAATGTTGTGGAAAAATTAACTGTTATGCCAAAATGGTACTTACTCTATGATGTCATTGCACTGTTTGATTACAGATGAATAGTATCATTCTTTTACTCCTAACTGTCACAGCCATGCTGGTTGGTCAATGTCATTTCAGCCATGTCTTTCGTCAACAACTCTTGACACACAGAGTGCACTTGTAAGCTCTCTGTCCAGTGCATTATAGCTGATGCCTTTGAAGATCCTGCTTATGACAAAAAGACTTTTCACAAAGAGAACAAGGCAATGGTCTCACTGGCACCATGTTTTGCAAAGTGCCACCTCAGGTTTGACAGCTGAATAAATCCATGTCTAAAATGCTTCACTAGTGAGGTTCTTATCTGTAAGAGTTTTCTTGTGTCTTACTGAGTGCCCCCAATCTCTAAAGGCTTAATCACATGAAACACAACTTTTCACCAGTGAGTGTCATTGTTGCATCTTGAGCTGGTATTGGAACATGTAGGTTTTCTTGCACTCTGCCCTTTCACAAAATGGACTTTGGTCGGTCTTATCGGTCAGTGGTGTAAAAGTGTTTGTAATGAAAATGACCAGCGGTTTGTGTTTGAAAAGTTTTTCCACATTGGTCACACACAGAAGGTCTCACCTTCCTGTGTATTCCCTGATGAGATTTCCAAACCTCTTTAGTGTTTAAAGAGATCTCACAGCAGCCACAAATGTAACACCTTTCCATACTTTGACAAACTGGCGGGTTCAAAGGCGTGATCCATTCTGGAAAGAGCTTGCCACATAAATTAATCAATGACTGCGTAGCCTCCATTTAATTTGAAAGTCCTTACCACAAGTATTACCATACCAAATTTTATTAGTATTGACCTTTGTTGTATGGTAGAGCTCTTGTGTATATGACCGTCTGTGGCTTAGAAACACTAAAAACATTTTTTAAATATTTTGCCACACAAACACATAGCGGTAAGAGGTGAGAATTTCCATGCCTTGTCAGTGATATTTGCTTACCAAGTGTTCATTGCAGTACACATGTGTGTGCACTTTCACATTTGTCTTTCCACAAGCACCAGTATTTTTGCATTGTTCAAGCAATGCTTCACCCTTAAAGACTTTTCACCCTCTCCACATTCTTTAGTATACACAGTTTCGGCAAACCTTTATCTTTCCTTTTCCAATCTGTTCTCCATTTGATGCTCTTCTCCTTTTAGCAGTAAGGGCAGAATTGTCAATGTTATCCATGCGTGAATACTTGGTCTTCACATCAGGCCTAGAACAAGAGAAAAAATTTTCAGACAGTCTGATTGTCTTGGAAAGATTTGATAGCTGGAGCCCGAGTTCCCTACTCGTTAGCACCCCTTAGACTTCAGGACTTAGTAATTCAGAGGGCAGAAAAAGATATCAAACTTATGAGTCATCACGAGTGTCAACAAGAGGTATGCCTTTAAGCCCAGTATGGCCATTGTGTTTGTTCTCAGGCCACACACTTTACACTCATGGTGCCATTCTCCAGTCAATGGGCTAGATGTCTGTGAAGTGCTAAGGAGAGCTACTAAAATTCTGGGGGAGGGGAGGGGAGGGGAAGAAGGGGAGAGGAGAGAAATGGGCAACCTATGGTGGACCAACATCCAATCCAGGCAAGGCAGCTTTACTCTCAGTACCCTTTTGTGTGGTCTTGCGTGGTGACTAAGTTAACACTTTACCTCCCAGAACTGATTAACATCTAACTTCTCCCTACAATATTCATACATTATCCAGCAAACAGGTAATGAGAATACTCAAACATATCAAACAAAAGTTGTTGTCTTGATCTAACACCAAATTCTTGTAACCAATTTAAAAGGAAATATATTGTAGCTGGAGGGGAGAATTGACTATCAGATCCTGGAGTTAAAGGTTTAAGTTCCAGGGCTGGTGTGCCTAAGGCCACTAGACCTGAGGGTACACTTCATCATTTTTCACACATGCAACTGTCAAAAGCAGAGTTGAAGTACCAAAGACTCTCCTTGAAATGGCCCTGAATATGAACACCCTGATTTCTAAGAATCTAATGCATATCTATAGGCAAGCAGGTGTGAGAATTCATAAGGTTCAGAAGATCATATCCTAAATTGTGACTGATGGTGTTTGATAAAATTTATTTGCTTCTGCTAATAGATGTGTGATATTAAATCAATGATTGACAGTAGCATGAAACAAGACTGAAACAAAAAAGAAAAGGAAACCATTGAGAGAGTTTATCTGGTATCAGACTACAAGCAGTCTTTTTTGGCAAGGTCTATTGTGCATGTCAACAAAATAAGCAAAAAAAATTAATGATAGTGCCCACATTGAACTATGGGAGTTAGCTGCACAGAAGCAAGCTAACAGCATTCAATAGAACAAAGTGTAATTAAAATGGAAATCTGCCTTCAAGTATGGCACTCAAACAGTCCTCATCCAGCTATGAAAGAAACACCTGGATTCGTTTAACATAAGTCTGCTGACTTAATATTCCACCACAATGCTGATGTGTGTGGAAATTACCAGGACACATTAATTGGGGTTCAACAAGAGTTTTGTTTGTAACAATATTGCGTGACACTGTCACGACCTCGTGGTCCGCTGACGACATCTGTTTTCTTATATTAAATATATCTTGTTGGTCCGACATCTTGGTTTTGTGTGTGTTCTCCTCTACATTGCCCGTTCTGGCTTGTTACATTGTTAAACAAAATATTTTGTATCTAATACCCCATTCACACCAGCAAAACATGTTTTGTTAAACTGGTTTTCATTGAATGAAAATTATAAACAGAGAACTGAAAAACTTGATTTTCCATTGGATTCAAGTACTTGCTAACTTGCATTTCCAATGTGCTACATTCAAGTCAAAAATATTCGGCTAAATAGTTTCTATGAAGGAAAAAAAAATTAAACTGTGTTTAACAAAACAACTTTTAAACATGTTTAAGCTTTGGTGTGAATGGGGCATTCGGCTTTTTCTAAAGCCATTTAGCAAAATATCAAGAATGTAATTTCCAGCAATAGATGCTTCATTGCCTCAGTCTGCTCTAGTTGCAGTGAAGGTAT